CATATGCAGTTGCACAACTTCTCAGGTAATGTAGGACTCATAAGTAGTCTATTTTGCCATCCTAATTTTGGTTCATCCTCGGAACTCAAAAGGCATCAATGCATTAGCTTGCCTATTTGACACTGCACTTGTAAAAGAAATTAGCCTAGGAATTAAGAGATCATGTTTGTGTCGCTATTTAAGTAGTTTAATCTGCCATAAATAGCACGATCAAACAGAGTTGTAAATAAGCATTGATGGGCCCCACAAATGTTCCTTGCTTTCTGTATATTCATTCATTGGAGAAATTATATAATTTGTAATATCTTTTAGGAGCATTCTGAGCACTTGTTAGATTCTTTCATCATCATTACAGACCTTTAATTTAGTATATAATACTATAATTGTATCCATGTGCGATATTCATATACATAATTTCATGATCCAATATTTGCACATTAGTAACCACATTTTGTGTACGCGCATGTACAAATAGACTTTGTTGCTGAAAGAGGTAGTTTCTTTCATATTTGTTTCTAAAGACATCACGATCCACATATCTGCTTCCCTTTATAAGTTATGATTACCCTGTAATAAAAATCAGATCATGTTGGCAAGGTATTTTCTTGGAATCTAAAGGCCACTTGTACTATTAATGTTGGCCAAATTCTTAGCAAAGTTAGTGGTCTGTTAGTTGCTGCTTTAACTTGTTCGCTAGTCTGGGTCGATAGTTTTTTTTCCATATATTTTGCTTCTAGTGATGCTAATGTTGTTGGTGCATCGTGTGATATGCTTATCAGGGTCTGCAGTATCGAATTGTACCGCCTGGTACGGGCGGTACGTACCGGTCCGACCGGTTGCCGGTACGTGGACCGTTTGTTACCGGTCCGAGTGCACTGTAGCACTGTAGCAATGTACTGTAGCACTGTAGCAGTACTATAGTACTCGGCACACCTGAGTGTACCGCTCGGTATACCGTATCATACCGGTACCGAGCCCAGGTCAAAATACCGGTACGATACGGTATTGCGAACCTTGATGCTTATAATTCCTTATATTAACCCAAAAAAAAAATCTTGCAATTTTTTAAAAGCTAAATTTTAGGTTCTCAGGTGTTGGTGCAAAAGATTATGAACAAAATAAAATATCACTTAAAATGCAATTGATTTTGCTGCTTTGACATCAAATCTTTTGGTATAATATTAGATCTAACACTGGGCTTAAACTATTTATTAAGTTCTCTGTTGTTTTGCTCAAGTCTAAAATGTTTTGCACTATTCGGCAAATATAATTTTTCGCTATTATGTGCTCACTCAATTTCTTATATTCTGCAGCTTCGGAAAATGCTAGATCTATTGGTCCATGCTTCACAGTGTCGCTCTCCTCAGTGCCAGTATCCTAACTGCCGTAAAGTTAAAGGCCTTTTCCGCCACGGTATACAATGCAGGACGCGTGCATCAGGAGGATGTGTTCTGTGTAAGAAGATTTGGTATCTCCTCCAAATACATTCCCGTGCTTGTAAAGAATCAGAGTGCAGTGTACCACGATGCAGGTGTTTTGTTTACTCCGTAAATGTTGTGCTTATTGATTTCTTTATGATTGTTTTGCCATATTGCCATAAATGGCGGATTAACCTTGTTTGGTTTTTTGTTTGTCCAGAGATCTGAAAGAACACTTGAGGAGATTGCAGCAGCAATCTGATTCCCGGCGGAGGGCTGCAGTGATGGAGATGATGAGACAGCGTGCTGCTGAGGTTGCTGCAGATACCGGATAACAAACCAAACCGTGACAATATTATTTATTAGCCGAGGAAAAAAACAGGAGATTGTACCCTCCATGCCACAAGTGCACGCCATTCAAGTACGCAGCCAGTGGTCGTTAGCAGATCCTTATAAGGCTTCTTCTACAAATCAATGGTTGGACATGCAATGGAGCATGATCGTCCGACTTCCACATGGTGTCGATAACCAAATCCCGCTGACCTGCTGAGTTATCCATCGATACTAACCAGCTGGAGGTGGTGGTTCTCTCTTTGTCATGCAGTGGTTCATCATCCATGGATGGTGGTTGTATCATATATGTTATGTAATTCATCAATTCTTAGTTTCCTAATCAGTTTTATTTCCCTTTTTTATTTGTGTTCCAACTTGGAAGGGTTAGGGAGGAATGGGGTTGGATCGGCTATTGCGCTTGTTTAGCCCTTGTCCATTTTGTAGAATATGTTTATTGCTACGTGACACACTTCAAATAAGTAGGAAGCTCTCTGTCCTCTCTTTTACAGTGTTGTCCAGAAAAATTCATTCACTGTCATTCATTCATTCATATATATATATATATATATATTCTCTCTCACTTGTGGATGCACATTCAAAGGTGAAACAGTAAATAAAGAGACGTACTGCGAGATTGCATGTCCGAAAGTTCACCCAGTTTTAATCGGTGTGATTCTGACTATATTCGATGTGGATGTGGGGGCAATAGGTCATCAGTTTCATCAATTGTCACAATCTAACCCCGATGGAATGATTAATTTATTAATTTTATTGAATTTAATTATTAGCTTAAAAAAATTGAAGTCAAAAGAAAGTATTAGTACATCAGAACTTGCATGTGGAAATATTACATATTTACATCACCTCTTATTAGAAGCACAGCACAATCGAGCATCGCCTTGTGAAACGCCGCTTCTCCTCCATCAGGTGCCTCCTCTACTCCACCAACATTACTCCCTCCCCTGTCAGGCATCACTCAACCAGGAGACGCCTTTCATCCAATTACACGTCACTTCCCTGCTACTGGACATCACTCCCCTCCATCTGCACATCCTCATCTTTCTCCACATCTCGCACGATCATACTAGAGACGTACAACTGTGAAAGCTCTCACGAACACCCCATTTGACGAGGATTACTGAAAAACACCTCTGACGGTCTCCTTTGTGTTTTAGTTTTTGCTTTCATAGAGAGTAAGGGAGTGATAACAATTTGTACTTGCGATCGACATTCATCACGCTTAAAGATCCTTTGCATTTGCTTCTTTCTTAAAAGAAATCGCTTGCCTCAAATTTACATGTTGTGATCATCGTGGCTGCAGTATTATTATTTATATGTTTCGACTGGGATGCGGTCGTGGCTGACGTAGAGAGAAACGAGGTCCAAGCCATCTCTGGCTAGAGAATTCGAAACTTTATCCGATATATTATTACACCTAGTTAGTGATGATGTACTAGACTACTGCCTTGCCAAATGTTAGCATTCTAAGCCTTATTCAATATATTTTACCAAACCAACTTACAAAAGATTAATGATTTGAAACCTCATCTGAAATATTTTAAACATATCAGAAGCCTAATTGATAAAAACTTTGATCATCTTGTGGAATCAGTGCCAGCAAAAAATGTCACCTGAACATATTTCATCAACTAGGAAAAATTCATAACTGGTAGGTACTTCCAATAATATCAAAATGCCACTGTCAATAACCTTTTGTGTAGTTCCAAACTGACGGATCTAAATCAAAATAATTCTAATGGTTATACAGCAAACAGCAGTAAATGACAGTGTGTGCGAATCCAAATGTATAGTGTCTTTGTAGCATTATGCCACCCAAAGATGAAACCACAGAAAAGACGATCAAATCTACAAATCATACCTAGTTTTCCTTATGTACACTTCATTGTTTTATCATAGCATCAATATAGAGAACTAAAAATCTGTCATACTACACTCTGGAACAAAATATGTATCAATATAGCAGAAGATGTTAGACAACTATCTTGGTGTCCCCTCTGGTCTTCATATTCCACATCTGCACCTTCTTATCTCCAACTCAAAGACCAGTCTCCCTCACTCAGCCAGTCTCTTATGTTTAGCACATATCTTGGTTTATAATAGCTTTCTTTCAGTAAGTCCATTGTAAGAAAAAAAATTATCAGTGGGCAAATAGTACGACTAACAAATGGTAGAGCAAGGTAGCAGTTCAATTTTGTTTTGCTTTAGCGCTAAGGCAGCTAGATGTACATATTTAGGTATTTCAACTGTCTTTTGAGACCACAAGATTAATCCTAAGACAACAAGTATCAGCCTAATAACACTCCACGTTTTTTTTTTTTTTTTTTGTAACATTATGTTTTGGGGGAACGTAGAATTACCAATGTTTCCAATAAAAACAAAGGATCCAAAGAATTAGCTGCAAACAAAGATCATTATTTCGGAAATTAAACAAAACTTGTAAAACCAACCATCATCTTTAGCATAAGCATCAAAAAGAGAGTTCAGTACTTAACAAAACAATGAAAAACTATATACAACTTTTCCAAGATATATCATTGGAAAAGCCTAAAATGATTACTTAAAATAACTCCCTTGGCCGGGAGAAGGATCCTTATAGTTATTAGTCCAGTAACATGACAAAATTAAGGCACATGCTTAAGACACTAAAAATATATATATGTTAGACAACTCAGCTGAGTTCCTTAAATAAATGGGCAAAACACATACTTTGTATGCGTTTAAAAGATAATAAGTTAAAAAGGCACAGGCTTGCTGTTTAATTTGCATGACAAAATTAAGGCACAATTCTACTTTAGAAAGGATTCACTGTAGACAAGATTCTAATAGCAAACGAGACTCCAGAAAAAAATATATTTAAGATTAACAAAAAGCATCAATGTTGTACGGAGTGGAAACCAAGTAGAAAATACTCTAAACTCAAGTAATGAGAACACTAAAAAGAATGACGAGGTCACAATGTAAATCTCCGGCAAAGGCTAGCACTAGAATGTTAGATATAAACTTAAACCAAAATTGGAAGTATTAAAGTAAATTCTACAAGTTAAACATGATGATGGATAGCTAGAAACAACCCTACATATCCCAATTTCAACCTTATAAAAAAAATCCAAAGAATGGAAGAGGATAAGAATTTAAAGAACAAGCAAAACTTACTCTCAGGCTTCAGAAGGGTGAAGTCTCCATTGATGAACAAGCCTAGAGGAATTATCATAGCACAAATCTAACAAATGCTGAAACCATAATCCAAATATCATATAATAAAATCCAGGGGGTAACATCCAAATAGCACAACTATGGTAAGTTTCCAGAGGATCTAAGTAACAATTTAACAGAACAATGCTGAACTTAACACATAGGTCTTCCTGAAAAACAGCATTCACATGCACCAGTCTGCAAGTACCATGATCTGACCAGACCAAATATGTGAACATTCTTCCTGAATCCTGATAAAGATGTTTAGAGGCCAGCACAAGCCAAAATACCAGATGTGAATTGCCAAAGACTTGTTGCCCTTACGACTGTGACTCGACTTAGATCGCATGAGGGTGAAGAAACTCATAATCATGGCTGCAACTATAGGACACATGACCGACCACAGACATCAAAGGTGTGCAACGCCGACGATGACTCTGAACCTTCTTGACCCTCACAACAGTCCTAGGACTCACTGTAACATAACCACATGTTGGATCAATGCATGCAGGAAAAGACAACAGATGAAACTAAAGTAAAACTTTTAGAAATACTGATATTTTGTAACAGAATACAAAAGGCTATATCATGTATTTTATATTCACAAGACTTGCTACTCAAGCCCAACATAAGAGACATGTACAAGTACATATGTTCACAACAACGAACCTGATCATCCTCACTGGATGTCAGCCCATATGATTGTGTCTGAGATGGTTTTTCTGCACCACAATTCTGTCGGTTACACTTGGTCCGGAATGGATAATTTATGTTGTTACACTTTTCACACATCCAACTGCCCTCTGGTATTTTTGGTTCTGCAATAAAAATGTGAAGGTTCGAGAAAAGTCTGAAAAGTTCTCTATAACAACATGCATCAACCACAAAAAGAAGGTGACAATAAGGATATAACAAGATTTGCATTGTAGTGACAATATTTAATTATTTAGGAAGCAATTTTTGTGGTTCTCACTTCTCAATGCATGCAAAAATGAAAAATACATAGTGTACTTACTGGAACCTTTTGAATTCTCTGATTTTGGGCCCTGCACAAAGTTGATAAAGAACAGAATCAGCAAAGGCTAGCACTAGAATGTTAGATATAAAAAACCAAAATTGGAAGTATTACTAGGGTGAAAGTAAAAAAGGTTAAGTGAAAAACTTTCATAGTAGGTTGAAATTAAGTTCTCAGATTTAAGGTAAGACTCTCATTGATTCCACGTCTATCTTCCAAAAAAATGATCAGAGATATCTAGCATATCGATAACGCTCCCCACCTTTTCTAAACAGCTATCAGCCTTCATCAAGGAAAGAACCTCACAAATACATGCATATGAACACAAATCCACAGATGCACACAAAATCAACAGTAACAAAGCAATAATGACAAGCTATGCAGATCATTAAAGATATCTTTGTGGACTTCAGCAAATCCTCCTGCAAACATCTCTGATTCTACATATGCATTACTTTGCCAATCCCTTATTTATGTAGATATAGATCCACGAATTCCGACCCATCATCTCATCCTTCCAAGTTTAGTGGCTATTGGACAAATCAAAAGCATTCACCAGTAATTCTATTTTCTCTGAATTTATCTGAATTCTATAGTCAGCCAAGCTTCCATATGTTTTCTTCTACCAAGATAATTTGAGTCAACAATAACCTGGGTCACATTGTGAACCAATACCCACATTGAGAAAATCAAGCTTTAACGTGACACATGGGATTCGAGAGGACTATAATTTTGATATTTGTTCAAAAAGCAACAATCAATTTGATTTTCCAAGGGAAATATTTTGATGTAAGCAATTACACAGACGATGTACAGAAAGAATCAATCAGGCATATACAACATTTTGGAATTGAATTGCTGTTTCTAAGTCCTTTTGAAAATAAATGATAGTAATGCTAATGATGGCGACATGTAAAGATGTTGGATCAGTTCAGGTGTGGCTTATATGTATAGTTTTTTTTTTAATTTAAAATTCAAGTATGGTTTTCCATCTAAACAATAATATAACTGGACCAAGCTCTATGTGCTCAATTTGGTTCAATCAGTTAAATACATCCAACCAATACCAGACACCCAGACACCTAAACAGATGATCCAAGCTATACTCTTTGGACATTTGGAAATGTAGTTTCGAATTTGGACCAATCATGGACAGAATGGACTATGTTGGCCACAAGCTTAGCTATGTTAAAGACCTTGGCACAAAAAAAATTGGATATTGCTTTCTCTTGTTTCATTCTCATGTGATGCATTAATAAAAATGTTATTTATCTAGTTTAAAATAATTTTGTGTTTAATCGTTTAGGCCAACTTGTATAATCTATCAGATTTATTTTTTTGCATTTTGTTGTTTGGTACAAGAACTTTGGTTGACCAGTGAACAATATAATCGAACCAATCAAATCGTTTATCTGGTTACCGGGTTAACCAGCATAGTTGGTTACATCATGGTTGGGAAAAAACAAATTAATTCAGTTTGGTTCGACAATTTAGGTCGAACAACTTCCTGAAGACATTCAGACTCCATGAATCAAGAAGTTAGAATAGATTGCTTATTGGTTGAAGCATCATAATTTCCATGCATAAAGAGGATCAAAATAACAGAACTCTTTGAAAAGGAAAAATATATATATTCAATAGCATCAATCCTGGACTTTGTTTAGATTCAAGAAGACTATGTATGATTGCTTATTCTCCAGCTTTTTACAACTAAGGCTGAACAATTAAAGCTGTCCATAGAAGAGCACAATTTAGTAAATCTTATCACTGGAGTTTGATAAGCATACCCTATGTTGCAATTAAAAATTTTCTTGTGATTGAGGCAAAAAGGCCAAGAAAAGACAAGCTAAGATGAATAGTTATCTGATGACATGAAGAGGACAGAAGCTGAAACAAATTCGAGCAGCGGCACTAATTATTGAGAAAAGACAGTAAATTCAAATAAAAAAGATCATACAGAAAAAACACAGGGCAGCAAGCATCTTGAAGAAAAAGGACATAAATAAAATATGTACTCAAACCTGGCTTTCAGGCCTTGGAGTGTTGCACTTCCTCATGTTACAAACAGTTCGGAAAGAGAAATTATTGTTGCCACAATTAGGGCATGTCCAGTCATTCTCATGTCCTGCACCTATGATATATGGAGAATTAAATGCAGAAATTATCTCAAAGCTTCACTAGGACATCAAAATGTCAGAAGAACAACCTGCAGTCTTCTTTGGAGAACTTTCATTAGGATAAGCTCCAGGCCTGGCCCCCTGCAGAATTTTCACTCCAGAATTACTTTTTGTTTTAATGGTACAGAATATCAAGTAATTATGACCAAGTAAAAAAAAAGTCAACCGAAAGCTCTTGACATCTCATCAAATTACACAATATTTAGACAATTTTTGAGTCCTAAGAACTGGTGGGTCAAAACTACTCGTCACACTCAGAAACAAATAATAATAATAATACAATAAAATAACTATTTTCCCAGATACTATCTAAATGAATGCAAACAATATAGCAACAAGAAAAACTTGTCATTTAACTGTAAAACCTACAAATAGCTTACCATTGCACCATGACCCATTGGTATGCCCAACCCATATCTATCCACCATAGGAGGCATACCATACATACCACCTAAAGAATAAGAAATCATTAGCTAAAACATATATAAACAAAGACAGGAAGCAGAAAAGAAATGTTGAATGCAGTGTCAAAAGGTTTCCAGATATCCAGGTGAAACCACAAAAAGTAATGCGTACACAGAGCTAAGTAATAAGAGGCTGTGAACATCCCTGACATAGATTAGTAGTTTTTATCATATCTTAATCTAAAATGAATTTTCATGACCCACTCGTTAAGTCAATGGCTTGTAATTCCATAAGAATTTGTTTAAAACATTCAGTGAACAGTAATAACTTGCATGGAAAAGTCAATGCAAATGGAGCACATTCAATCTCATTTTTAGAAACTGACATGATCGATGGAAAAATATATAATAAAGTTTTACTAGCTTACTTTCAGACAAAACATTGAGTGGTTAAATGTCATTACCTGCTCCTATCATAGATCCACTAGAATAAGGAGGAGGTCCAGACATATGCATTGGTCCATATGGACTCCCAACAGAAAAGCGACTGCCATACTCATAGTGATAAGCAGAACCTCCAGGGAAAGAGAAATCATAAGGAGTCAGTGCTGGACCATTAAAAAGGGAAGGCCCATATGGCAGAGAACCAAGATACATTGAAGATGGGGCACCAGAACCCAGGTAACCAGCTACAGAGGTGTAAGGTGAAGGAGCTTGCATAGACTTTGCAGCAGATTTCTGGACAATAACAATCCTAGCACATAAGCATGGAACTAGAGAATCCACAGAGCAAAAAGGAAAAAGAGGAGAAATTGAGACAGTGAAAAACCATCCTCAGTTGCTGCAAAATCAGTAGACATCTTTTACATGCCCAGAAGTTCTTAAAGAAATGTACACAGAAGTCTAACGCTATATTAAAATGCTAGAAAAGAGGAAACGGTTAGAGAATGACAGATCGAAAGAAAAAAGAAAAAGGAAAAGAATAAAAGAAATAAAATAATGCTAATATCCAATCATCATGGTCGGCAGATTTACCCCATCATGGTCGGCAGGCCTTGACTGAGTACAGTTTCGCATATTGCATGTTGTCCTGAATGAGAAATTAACATTGCCACAACTAGGGCATGTCCAATCATCATCTCGGCGGCCACCTTAAACAAAAATATGTTAGATCACAGATCAGTCCTTTCTGTCCGTCAGTGATCATAAACTTAAAAAGTGATCCGACAACTGTTTCAATGGCCAAAAAACAGCATATCCATACCATCGGTTCTAGCACGCTTGCCAGCAGATGAGTTCCGGTTATCCACCTGCAACACAAAGCACAAGAAGTGATTGAACAATGATATGTCATACATACCTGTAAATACAAATTCCTCGAGTTCTCACTCAATCCCATCATCTACGTAGCATCAAATTGGGCTCCAAGAATGTATCGCATATTTATAGCACAAACATGATTAAAATGTTACAGATTCCAACGAAAAAGGAACTTTATAGCCCTAAAGCAACCTAATCAAAACTAGGAAGAATTGTTGACAACAATGATAAAGACAATACTACTTAACAACCTTGTATGAACAAGGTCCGTATATGTGTGGTGGACATTTAGAACACTAATAAGCATAGAATGGAAAATTCTTTGAAACCTCCGAAACCGATAAACTGAGAAGAAGTCTATCCTAACAAACTAAGCCCAATCAGAACTTCGGCATCATTAGAAAATCACGATCAAGACGAACCAAATATTACGTTGGAACGACATTAATGAGGCATAAATCTGATGGAAAGATTAAGACAACCTCACACAGATCTAGCGAAATTAGGTTCGAATCGTAGTAAGAACACTTAATGAGGCGTCAATTTGATGGAAAAGTGAATACCAAATCACGGAAACGAGCTAGTCCTACCAACATCCAACAAAAGACGGCAGATCAGGTAATAGAAACGATCCACGAAAGGGGGAAAACGAATGGTAGAAAATAACAAGACCGGAATTACTCGATGAACACTTGATAAGGCAATAATTCGATGGGAATCATCTACCTAATCACGTCGACAAGGAAATCACATGACAAAAATGATCTCGCTCGACGAAGAAACAGAAGGCGACAGATCGAGAACCGGAGCCGATCTAGTAAACAGAAGTAAATCCAAAGAGGGGAACCATCGCAGGGTCTCATGCGAGAGGGAGAGAGAGAGATTACCTGAGACATGGCGGCTCAAAGGGTTCGGCTCGGGACGGAGGCGAGGGGATTATTAATTACTCTTTTAGCGAGTGGTTAGTGATTTTTACATTTTTGGCACCTTATTTTAATTTCGTTTTACCAATATATAATCTCCTAAACATTTTAAAAACTAATAATAATTATTATTATTATTATTGTTAATCTCATAACCTATTATTTCATATTCCTTTTAAAGATAAGTGATAAAAAGATAGAATTAATTCAATGGAGAACTTCCTCATTATGCAATGCAAAAAAATCCTTAAAAATGGAATTAATTTGTATTCAGCTTGGTCCACCCGACTAACCTGCATAACTTGCCGACAAAGAATTAGGTTTCATCGCAGGCTTTTTGATTTTTTATTTTGATCACACATTACTTAAGTTTTTATAGTTTATTTATATTTAAAATGATTATTATATTAAAATCTATTTTAGTATATATATTTTAGTACTTATGAGTTTGTTTGTATCTAAAATAACTCATATATTTTAAAAAACATAACATATAGCACATCTCATCCCATTAAGTCTGAGTTGACAGACGTTAGAATATGACATGTTGATTTATAATAAATTATTAATATAATAACATATATAATTTAAATTTTTTTAAAAAAAATCTATCTTGTCAAGAAAAAGGAAACGATGAAGGTCATAACAACGGACGAATGCGGAGAGACAAAGATAGAAGAGACCGATGGCAAAGATAAGGGTGAGTTGGACCACCACATCGTAAGTTAACATTACCCAAACCTAGATCATAAAAACTAGAGAAATCAAATTTCTAAAGGATTTATTACTATAATTAAATCCAAAAGAGTCCAAAATATAATTAAAAATTACATATTAAAATCCATTAAATATTACCAAAATATAAAGAACCCATGCTATTAAAAAAAATAGATTCAACTACTAATATAGTTACTAGCATAAATACTAGTAAGAAGTAAGGGGACAAAATTGTTTATTTGATTGTAGAACTATATGAAAGCAATGAGTTTGAGATAAAATCACTTGGGAGTGGACATAAGCGACTTTCGGGCCAATAGAATACCTCCAAATGCACTCGAAAAGATCTGAGTAAAGTCTTTATATCCTTATCCCAACTGAGCAGCCATACGCATTTGATTTGTATAAATGAGTTTCCTATAAAATCATAACCTAAAATTTATATTTGATCTTAATAATAATAAGAAAATAAGTAGTTTTTTTACTGTTTGTACCATGATAATTTTAATTAAAAATAATTATAAGGAAGAAGAAAGAGGAAGGCAAGGGGTCACTCTATTGTGCGACAATTCTATGATCTAAAAATGTATCATAGATCTAGTCAAACCATATGATTTTGAGAATGTTATTTACCCTTCAACAATCCATCGATAAATATGAGCTTCATAGTCCCAACAATACTAGAGGAGATAGATGAGACAGGAGAAGAGGAGAGGTCAACATTGTCTCGAGTCATCGTCGACTCGCCTATTAGCACGGGATTAATACTAACTAGGGTAGGCTCCACCTTTTGGACCAGGGCTTCAAAGAAGTTCACATCAAAGTTACTCAAACCTAGGTCTAGACAAGTGTCTTCAATCTTCATCGAGCGTGGTGGGTTAGGAGGTGGTGACTTTGGATCCAAATCGATCGAGTTCGTAATTTATCTTTATCATCCTCCATATCCTAATAAGTGGAATCACCACCTATTTGCATTGATCCAAGCCAACTAGTATAAGAGGACACTTTAAGCCCCTCACCTGATAGGGCAAAGCAGGGCAAGTGGAACAGTATGGGGGCAATAAGTAGCTAAAATCGATCACCTCAACTTGGGCCACGTGAGAGTCATGGGGAGATCCTTGACTCACATGTGTCGCACAAGAGGCCGCCTAGAGAGACACTATTAGAGTCATCATTTTCTCATATCTCGATCGTCTATCTAAGGCACTACTATGCTGAGTTGATTAACTCCTCTAAACACATATCCATAGAGCAAAAAAGTGGTCTTCCTAGATACCCTTAGCTCAATCTTTTGATAAAACACTTGAGCTCTTCATCTCCCGAGAGAGTTGCTCGAGAAAGTTATCGAGGATAGAAGATCCCTTAGGCATATTAGAAAGTTTTGTTGAAGAGGACTTTGACAATAGTGACTCCGAATGAAGTGCCATGAGACAAAGAATTTTTGGATCATCACGCAAAAGAGAGAAAGCATTAGAAAAAAAAAAAAAAAGATAAAGAAAGGATCTAAAAGGATGAGAGTTGGTAGAGGAGGAAGGAAGAGAGGGAGACTTGCAATGATTTCGTCCTTCCACATAACTTGCAATGCATTCTAACTTATCATTTTATTTGTTTTGACCAATGAACACTTGATAAGAGTTTATAAATTCCTTAAAATGAAATATTTAAATCCATCCAATAAATTTATATTAATCACTGGCATTCATGATGAGTAATGATTTAATAAAAACCAAATACTCTTTATTGATCTACGTTGAAGACTCCTCAGCCCGACCGGAAGATCTGCATGAAGGTGACATCGATCCGTTTTCCTTGATTCCCTAAATACCAACCAATGTTTATGCTATAAACATTGGTAGATGCTTTGGTTTGCTGTATAAACTGTTTAGGAGCTGAAGTGTCATTGGTGCAATGTATGGGTCGATGCTTATTGTAGTCGAAGATTGTGCTCTTAGGTCCATACTTGTGTCATACAAAGGTACTTCCCTGGTTGCCTATGCATTGATGACATTTTTTTCTTGGGTTGTCAACAACAGATCGATCATATATGATAAATGACATGCTATAGGAGGATATGTAGTTTTCGAAGCATTTGCAATTGCTAGGATGGAACATTTTCTTTTATATTGGTGTGATTCTGGATTAGTTTTGGGAGTTCCACAAACAATCATTACCCACTTTTCAGATTTAATGGATAAATCACTATGTTACATGAGTTTAATGAATGGTCATTGAATTCTGGTTATAAAACTAAAAAAGTCAGCCTAACCTGTGGTTGGAGTTCATGATGTTTAGTGTTGATTCAAGTTTTCTCTTCCCCTCATCGTCATTGCACGATTTCTTCTGCATTCCTCACCGGAGTGGAAACTGAAACTTTCAAGAGAATATTATTATATTGTCAGCCTTAGCTCGATGACTTAAGAACTGCTCGTTGACTCATTGTTCTAGAGTGGTCAAAAGATCACTCAACAGTTGTTAGGAAGGAATGATCTGATACCAGTATAATTGGTTCTAGAGTGGTCAAAATGTCACACACAGCTGGTGAGTTTCTAAGGATGATTCAGTCCACCAATGTAGCAGCCATATTAGAGAGAGAGAGTATCACCACCAGAATTTCTTGGATAGACTTCATTCACCATATATTTGGGATGTACTATTTCAACATTCACAGCTTGAATCACAAGTGCATCGAATCAGCTATGTTTTATCATTTCTCGTAGCAAACTGTCTCGAGTGATGTTTCCAAGGATGAGTCAATCACAGCAGCAATCTTACATCATCATTACTAGAATTTCTTGGATAGACTTCATCCACCACATGTTTGGGATGTGCTTACTTCACAAGTGCAGTGAACTAGTGTGATGGAAGTATCCTGCCTGGTACAGGAATCACTCATCAACAAATTTGTGATGTGAGACTTGGTGTTTCTTTATTCCTGGTCCTGCCTTGCTCTCCCAGCTCTGGTGGATAAGGCTCCTTTGCAAGCATGATGCCTACTGGCAGATCCTCCCTCACCATAAATAACCAAGTCACATCCAATGAATTAAGGCTAAAAGATAATAGTGGTGTTCCTTCTCTTACCTATCTGCTCCTCCTCCTCCTCCTCCTGACCAGTTACTTCTATCCATCACTTACAAGAAATAAAATATAAATTTGGATTTTATCTTCATTTGCTTTATCCATTTCTTTTTCAATAATTTTGTTTTTTTTTTCAAAAAACATATATATGTGGGGATGATTTCTTTAGAAAATACTCATATTTTGAGTATTTTTCAAAAGATATCCCTTCTTTTACTTTCTATCAAATAGTATTCTTAATTTTTAAAAAAAATATTCAGAATATTTCTCAAAAAATTTATTTTTTACTAGTTTTAAATTGTTATCATGTTTGTAATTCGCTCGCTTATAGTATTTTTTAATAAAATTTATAATGTCTTATTGAGATATTGAAAATTTTTGAAGTAATATTATATCGTCTCTCTAATTATTATTCCTGGTATATAATTATGGTTAAGAAATCTATATAGATTATTTATAATATTTTATATTAGACGTTACAATATTTTCATTGTGATGATAAAATACTATAATAAATTAAATTATTATTATTATTATTTGAGTAACATTATTGGTAAATTATTTTAAAGATCTATCTGAATCATAGCATAGGCGTCTAATATAACTTGATTTCATTTGACTCATTTACTATAAGCTTTATAATGATTTTATAGTGATGATCAAAACCCTATAACAGATCAAAAATATTGTAACTGACCAAAAACATGATGATAAAAGATAAAAATAATTTTAAGAGATAATTTTAATATTTTTAAATTGAGATTACTCATTAAAAAGAAATTAGCATCTAATAAAAGTATCTATGGATCTGAGAGGATTTAATATTTACAAACACGGATATCTCACACCACTGCCACGTGGTACGTTTAAGGTCCAATCTTTGCGGTGAGAACGGCCAAACCACTTATTACTAGCATGTTCTTTTAATCGTATGGAAAAAAGAAGGCTCCTTTCTGGTTTCTTCTTGTCCAAGTTGAAGCAGAGACTCCCAATTCGTCTCGCGCTCGCTCCCGCTTCAGCCTCCCTCCCATCTCTCCGCCGATTAGATGGCCAAATCCGGAACCCTGCTATCCGATTTGGCAAGGGTACCGCCGGATTTCGGCGAATTCTGGCGGGAAGGCGCCGGCGGTGGTTGGGCGACGACGGTCGTTGTGCTCCTCCTCTTCGCGTGGCAGCTCCTGCGGCTCTTCTTCTCCCGTAGCCGCCTCCGGCCGGCCTCCAGAGCTCCGGAATCGTCG